CGATTTTGGAATTACATATTACGGTATTTTTATTATGCATTTTGTTTTTGTGTCTTATGCTTTGACTTACATTTCCTGCAATTATTCGCTATGTTTTCTTCGAAATGTATTTCTCCTGATTATATATTTGGGTTTTGCATCTGGTATACTTTATGTGCAGTTGTTCTTTTCTCCAAAATCTCAAAATATTGTATTTATTCTGCTTTTGCATCTTGTTTTTGTGTTTGTCATACTTTGGAGTGCAGTTGTCGCCCTTATTCTAAACATGTTCGTCAAACGACGTATTTCTCCCGATTATGCATTCGTATTTTCTATGTGTTATACGTTATATGTAGTTCTAATTTGAAACATCTCAAAATGTTTGATTTCTTCTCCCCCCTTATGTAATGTCCTTTACAAAAGAAGCCGTAAATTATTCAAATCGGCAAATCAATAAATACAGTTTACGCTTATTCATTGACTAACACTAGATTATAATGGCTTTAAGGAAACATGCGCCACGGGAAAACAAGTTTCCTTATTATTACTAATAAGTGAATAAAATTTTAAGAGCGTTTAGTGCGTCATCTTATGTTTATGACCATGATGTTAGCATTAAACTATCAAATTTTTCATTTTCTGTAAACTATGCACATTCAGAAATAAAGCATATTATTTCACGCACTTGGGGCTTTGCACCACACTTAAGAAAGACAAGCAAAATATAATAATTTGTTCCGTTTAAAACATTCAGTGCATTGAATAGTAAAAATAGCATGTACAAAAACAATATTTGTTAGAAATATAATTACAATATCGTGAAATCAGTGTTTTCAAAGGCTAATAAAATTTCCTTAAATGTTTCATAAGTATCAAAAGTGTAAATTTTATCCAAACCTTTATTGTTGCATTCTGCATGTACTGAATCATCTTCTTGTAAACTTTGGTGGTGAGAGGACATTATTAACAACAAAAATTATTGTGGATGATCAGGGAAGATGCCTCAAAATTTAAAAAAAAAACCGTTCGATTTTACTATAGATGAGGAGTGGCGCTATTTCGCGGCAGAAAGAAGAAATTATTTTCAATAATATTCCGTAGAAAATTATGGCAAAGGAGAGAGCTATTCAGAGGAGATGGGTAGGCCTACTTCTCAACATAAATGTTACGGCAGCGTACTTCACAATTTGAAGAACAGCGCATATAAATATGTCTTCTATTTATGCCACTCTGTGTTGCCGGGAGTTTTTCAAAAGCGCATTAGATTGATTTGGCGATCATAACCAATGTTTATTACTTTTATACATAAAATATGAAGATTCTCATGTAATAATACACCATAAAACTCAAAACCTCAAAACCAATATTTCCCCCACAAATATTGCCTTTCGACCATACAGATTAACCTATTAATTGTCTGAACGAAGAATAAATCAATGATTCTTGGCGCACAATTTACCAAATTTTCAAAAAAAAGGTGTTTTCAAACAAAACAAAAGATACTGACGATTAGCTAAAAACGTTATGATGTAGGACACCTGGATTACAGGGCGCTCACCAAGGTTACTTGATTAGCTCAGTTGCAGAATTGTCCATAGACGCTGCTTGCACGAGCAGTATTAGATTTATATATGTACTTGGATGCGCATCGTCTCAATGTCGTTCTACCGCACTCTATGGAATGTACGGCAAATTAGAGCACTTTTTTGCAACGAAAATATAGACGATGCTTTAAACGACTGGAGGCAGACTGAAGTGAGTGTGTTGGTTACCCTCCTTGCTCGCGAAGTTCAACAACTGACCTATTATGTAATGTTTGCGCTAAATACGTAATTCTGCGTCGTCACATCTGAATCTTTACAGTATCGTTACGATGTCATAAGGGAGTGCATTTTATTTGGCATGCGGAAACGTCATGTTCCGGTCACCCTTAAGCAGGGACTGCAGCCCATGCTACAAACGAGAGATAGGCCGCGCTCCTGGCTTTGGAACCTGCTTTTCGGGCACCAGTGCTGGTTCGTAGGAAACAGGCTTCAAAAATATGCGATTCAGTACTCTCGTTCTGTTTTCTACATATGACTGGTAAAATACCGCTGAAAAAGAAAAAAAAATTCTTGGGTGGCCACGTTCGAAATTGCGAGGAAAGATTTTCTCACTTGCAGGCTACACTAATAACCAAAGTTCAATACTTATGGACAGCTTTGCGTGTTGTAAATCATTGAGATTTTTTTATTTTGTTGAAAAGTTTTATAACTGCGTTTACTTATTTTTACACTTATATATCTTTCTGGTAGATGAATATTAACGACGTATTTAGGAAAAGCGATTAAGGATATTAACTAAATTTACAAATTACAGTGCAAAGTGAATACTTTGCGAAACTGTCAATTTAACGATTTATTTTTTTAGTGCCCCAGAACAACCTCACGATTTTTATATACTAGCACGAGATATAAAATTTAAGATATACAATTAACACAATTTCACAGTTGATAAATATAAAAAGGTCGAACTCACCACGGGAAAGTCAGAAAAAATCTTACAAAACGATCACCATGAAGAAGTTCACACTTCTTAGGAAATTAAATACAACTAAAAACAAGTCATCAAATAATTGTCTCGAAGATAAAATACAAAAAAATGAAGAAAATGATCTGTATCACCAAAAGAGTATAAAACAGAGTTCACAAGCCACTTTACGCTTGAAAAAGTTCATTTCATCAAAAATGTCCAGGCAGGGAGACTCTAAATCGTTAAATGAAAGTTACATGCGCTTTAATGGTAGCGTGTTTGTCTCGAATGAAAGGATAAATTAAAGAGTGGTGTCTACAAAAGCGAGCAGGGTGTATGAGAATGTACATAGATTACTAGGTCAGCATCGAAATTACTGTGAATTAGAAAAAAGGACGGTAGGACTGTCACTTAACTTCAAAATGTTAGGTTTGTTATTTATATTCAAGGTTATAAGATAGACCCTAGGAGAAATAAAATCAAGGCTATTTGAAACTAAAATATATATATATATATATATATATATATTTAGTTATCAGCAGTGTGAATTCGGAAAGCGAGGCTGTCGTAAGACTGAGGTCTATATAATTCTCCGAAACCGCGCAATCACCACGAGGGATTGAGTTAACGTATTTACGAAAGAAATAACCCTGCATGTTATCCGTGGGCCGGTTCCAAAATATTTCCATGCCTACACTAGGATGCGAGCCGATTGGGTGGGGTTTGCCGTTTAATATACCGTGTTTTTTTTAAGCTTTGAGACTTGTTTAAAAAGGCCATGACAGCTAAACTAATGCGACTACAGCTAATACTAACGATAAGCCAAATATTCTGAAATACGTTAACTTGTAGTGAGTCGAAATATACGTAACATTTTAATTAGAAACTTGATGAGCGTCACCAAAACCACTAAATTAGCAATTTTTAGACAGACTTTGAGTGCGTGGGAAGCGCAGTAGTGCGCTAAAGTTACCACGCGTAAAACAGGCACAATACTAGGGTGAGCAAAAGCAGATAATACGTAAAAATTGCGTGGGTGCGTTATCGCCCCGGTTGCCTTGCTCTTGCTGCACGAGTGGTAACTTTAGCGCTCCACCATGCTCCCAACGTGTTCCAAGGCTTTCTAATACAGTAATCTTGGGATTTCCGATGACGCTGAGCAAGTTTCTAATTAGAATATTTTTTTTTATAAATAAGAAGTGAATTAACATATTCTAATTAATTATTCCCCTGGTCTTTACGATTAGCCCCATATAATATATCGCCCTGCTTTTATAACACACCTGCAAAAACTACATTAAAGTACCTTTCACGTCTTCCTCAGAAGAATCAGCAAAGCTTAAAATGAAACACCCTGTATATTTCTGTTGTCCATAAAATTCATCCAGTGTTCTAACTTCGTCCAGAGCCCTTTTCTTGGACATCAGTCCCTCATGTTTTTCTCAGGTTTTGGCGATTAATGTCTAATATCATATGCTTCGGAAATTGGTGGATTTTAGATCTTATTTATGTCAAGCCTGAATTGAATTTTGTATTATGCGTCCCCCCTTTCATTCCTTCATTCGAGAAAAGATATAAATAAATAATAATAATAAATATTTATTTTCAAGTGCCCAAAGACCACCAACAGTTATTTTCTTTGGTACACATAATAAATGAGGAATCAAAATAACAGAGACATGGCAAAAATACTCAAACGTTACAAATTGGCAACAAGTACTTTCATTTTCGTCGCGAACACCCGAGAGTCGCTAAATATATCCACTGCAGCATTGTTGATGCGGTTAAAAAGCAGTTGGCAGCGTGATAAAGGCGAGAGATCACAGACAGTATTAATGTAAAAAGTACAATGATTTCTAGTGGTTCGGGAGGTAACATGTAAATAAACATCACTTAAAAGCGAGTTACAATCAGATACTCCATTTACTAACTTATGAAAAAAGACTAAGTCGCGTTCCGCCCTTCTAACGGACAATTTAGTCAACGAAACTTTTTAAGAAGAAATTCATAATCAAAATAGAAGCAACGATAAGAGTATCGATCATACACAATGCGTATTAACCTCTTCTGTGCTTTTTCAATGATCAATGCCTGAGTTTTATTTAACGCATTCCAAGCTACTGAAGCAAATTCAAGTCTAGACCTCACTAGGGCGCAAAATAACCGAACCAAGGAACCCGGGTTATTAAAGTGCTTCGTAATACGAGATGTAACACCAAGCATTCTTGTTGCACTGGCAACGACAAGTGACACATGGGCAGTAAACGTTAGAACATTATCAAGGTATACGCCAAGGTCTTTTATAACAGAAAGACGTGTGATAGGCATCCTCTCTAAATCATAATCGCAGTCTATTATGGTGTGACGTCTTGAGAAAGATACGACTTTTGTTTTCAATGGATTCAGATATTATCAATTCATCCTCACGTTGTATTGTGAAGAATAGGGTGCCCGTCCAATGATAGATATCTTCGAGGTAAAGACGTTTTTAAATAACTCAAGCAACTCACAGCCTTTTGGGCATCCGCATCCCTTTTTTTACATGAGCGGTCTTCTGCTTCTGGCTCAACGGTACGTTCATCACGTTCATTTGACTCAGTGCTTGCTGGAGCGCCACACACTAGTGACAGCAGAGCTAAGAAGGGAAATAAAATTCTTTCAGCAGCACTTCTAAATACTAGCACTCGCAATAAAGGTGCATGAGCAGGAACTTAGAAGGTGGCCTTCATTATACTGAAAAAATCGGCGACGCTGAACTCCTGTGAGAAAATGCATGAAGTGTTTTAAACATCAGCCGCTTTCAACTGCGAAAGATGTGACATACTTTAAGTCTTACGAACCGTTGTGGAATATCACTCATATAAAAAAAGCGAAAAACAACTTCAGAAAGGTTCCCTTGCGGGTACTTTCTCACAGATCAATGAGAAGGTAATACGCAGTAATGTACGGGGAAAACTCGACGAATGAAGAGGACGGAGGGACGATTTACCTGAAAAATGGCGTATCTGCATCACGTTAGGCGTGTACTCACGTCATCCTCAGTGTCACATCGGAGACGTAAGTTCTAGGCTAAACTTTTGTCTCGCCAGGTCAGTCATCGTACATACATTGTAGTCATTCCTCATCTCTTAGAAACACAAGGCCTGGACGTTTACACTGTTATGTTAGTTCATGTATGCTCCCAACACCATTGACGCTGTCGGACTATGCCGAAACCACGCGCGCAGTATTAGCATTTGTTCCGCTCTAAAACTACTAATCTGGTGGTATAATCGAAAGCCAAAATGACCAGCGAAAGTCGACACCGTGGTCCAGCGATCTCGGTTTTTCTGAAGGTTTCGCAAATCCCATTTCAGCGTCTTAATTTGCGAAGCATAAGTCCAGATAAATGCCGACTGATTTCTGATGCCCGGAGATAGACACCGAAAAACGCCAACTCTCTAGGCCGACAGTACCTTCCCCCTGTGAACTTGGCTCGATTTGTGACACCCGGCAAAAGACACCGAAACACACCAAATCTCTAGGCCGACAGTACCCCCCTACCTTTTTGTGACCTTGGCTCATTTACCCTCGTCTGCTTTGAGCAAAGCACCAAAAGTACTTGATTCTAAAAATCAGTTGGTGTTTGCGGGTGGGTGAGGGCTAACACAGAGTGGTCTTCACTTATTACAGAGAGTTAATTGTAGTGAGAACTACTTTTCATATTTAATTATCCGTGTTTCTTTTTGGAGATCGGGAATGATGGGTATAATGGGACTCCTGGCATCTTGCTGCTGCTCTCTATGTAATAGTGGCTGCGAGAGAATACTTTTATACCAGCTGTGCGTTTGTATGACACAGCGTGGAAATAATGTAACATTCTAGTTTTGTAATATCTGAGATCTATCGGCAGTTGTTTTGAAAAAAATTGCTTCCTACCCGTTCGTTCGCAGACGTCACGGCACATGCACGCTTCAGTATTATTCCTTTCTTGCTAAAATATAAAAAGTCTGCTACTGCGCGTCTTTCTCTCTTCTACAGACGCACCGCAAGCGGACACGAAAAGAAGGGAAGAACGAGGTGTTTTTCTCCTCCTCTATGCAGATGCCAATCTCCCTGGAGAAGACGTCCGTGTCCCTGTCCGAACACTCAAAGCACCTCGGTTCCATTAACGCTTTTGCCGCTCATTTCGTGAAGCAAGCAAATAAAGCTCTTAGAAACATAGAAGTTTCAGAGCAACGCCAGCAGTGCTTCCCACGCTAGGCTACAATGACCGTATTGCGCAATTTGCGTCCAAGTAAGCAGGTTTTCCTGCCGGGTGTCTGCGCGTCCTCTGCGCTGCGTTTCGACCTGTTTCCTGTTACCGAGGGCCATCCAACGATCAACGTGGTTTTGTATTTCCGTGAATCACCAATATCGCCATGCCATTGTTGTACGCTGTTAACAAAGTCTAGAGTCGTCATCGACGTCTTCAAGTGTTTCGCGTTTTAGTGGTGTAACAGCAAGAAACGGTTATTTGTATGGTCGCAGATCGACATTCTGCTTTACATTAAGAAGTTTTATAGGACGGCTTGCGAGATTACGGTGCAATTCAAGGACCTCCGGCTAGTCATGTGGCCATTGTAACTGTCCTCTGCAATGCCGTGTTGTAACCTTACCATGGCGATCGGGCCTCGGCGAATGGCTAAACGTGCTTAAAATACGACAGAAAAAGAGCACGTATGCATATGTACAGTTTGGAATATTGGCAATAAATGATATCATACAGAACAGCGAATGTGGTGTTAGGTATTTTACTTTCTCTTTTCCTGTATAGTTTTTAGTCGACAGTGGGCAGTCGCCAGTCGGAAGTCCACAGTCGGCAGTCCGCGAGTCGGAAGTCGGAAGTCGGAAGTCGACAGTCGGAAGTCGACAGTCGGAAGTCGACAGTTGGAAGTTGACACTCGGTAGTGGACACTCGGAAGCCGACATCCGGCAGCCGACAGTCGACAGTTAACAGTTGGCATAAATCCCAACTTCTTCCGTTGTAACTTTGTCTGTTTTTATTTTCGTACTTAACCGATCTTGGATCTACATGCCACTGCAACAGGACACATTTCTTGAACTGCCTCCTGCTGTTCAGCCCCTTGCTTGTAGCAAGAAGCGCGTTCGTGCTATTGTTTTTTCAACTGAATTGAACCCCGGATTGTTGGCTCGAGCTCAAAGTGCCCTTAAATTTCGAATATGTGAATTTTAGTCCTCTCGTCGATGCGAAATTAATTGAGTTCTTAACGTATAATCCTCACCGTAAAAACAATGTGCTGACCATCGGTTGAAAGAGATGACTTCGGAACACCCAGTGCTCGCCATATCGATATCGCTCTGTGTATTGGCCAGAACCATTCGGCTCGACAACCGGCCAATATTTTTTTTTCGCAGATGATGTATAACTGGGTACGATATAGTTACATATTAAACTAAGTTATTTCAACCATTTGCTTGTTTTCACACGCAACACGACGCAGCCAACAGTGCACAACACCTGCAGAAAATCGTTGCTTTGACCGTACTCTTGTTGGTCGAAAAGTTATTTCTCTGCCCGTGAAACATGACTTCCAGCTGCTGAGTGATCACCCCCTTTTGACAGGTTAATTTACGACGACCACTGCCCCTACACACGAACAGCGCAAAACAAAAACGGCTACTATGATAGAGAAACCGGCGTCCTTCGCGCCATTGTAAGACGTGCTTTACGGGGAAGCGAACATATGGCTGCTACGAACCGGAGTGGAGTGTACATTTATTGGCTCACTGAAATAATTACATCCTGAACGTTTACTTTTTACTAGGAAAATCATCATTTGTGCCTTTCAAAATACCTCCCGACCAGTGACATTACTTAGAAACAAAAACAAAAAATAAAGCAGCGTGAAAAGCGCATGTCACCTTTTCGGCTTATGATTATTTCGCCGATGATAGAGCAGATATAGAAACATGACGAACACCATGACGGTGCCCTTTTCACGCTGTTTGGTTGGTCCCATCAAACACGTAGCGTCAAATGCGCCTGAACATAAGGTGAGATGAAGTATAGCAAAAGCGCCGAAGCGAGCTGCATTGAAATCCTTAGTGAATCAGGAAAAGAAACAACCCCAGTCACAGTGTCACTGCACTCTCGTCCGCGTGCTTTTACTCGAGATAATTGAACTTCCGGTCCCGAGACGCGGTGGCCACTGTCGCTCCGTTGGAGTGCTGTGTCCGTTACCGAACATAAGTAACGAAATAGCGTTACTCGTTAATTCATCAAAACTAACGTGTTGCTCAGATTCGTAACCGTCCTGAAAATGTAACGATATATTGTTTTCGCCATCTAGGAAAACTAACAACAGTTACTTTTGATTTGGTTTTGTTTGGCAGGCATAGGCCACGGATACAAACTTCATCTACGATTAATCATCTACGGAGTCACTCTATAGTGTATATTATGTAAGGGAATAAAATGTGTTGAATATAAAGTTTTCTTAATCAAATTAGAAAACTAAACACGCTAAGAAGAAATATGTACTATTTTCCCTTTTTCGAAGTTAATGCCGTTTTTTTCATTTTTAAACCAAAACAAAAACAATAATATTTAAAAGTAACGCGTAAATTAATTTGATGGACGATACCGCAAAACAGTTACAAAAATACTTTACTCGGTTTCTATCTAGAAAACTAACGAGATAAGTACATCTGGTCTACGTTCTTCAAGTCAAAAATTTTGGGGTTTACGTGCCCAACGAGAAGCACATGTGGCACGCTCCAGCGAGGGACTGAAGATTGATTCTTTTGACGTGCAACCAAAATCTCGGTTACATGGAGCCACACCCGAATACGTCTCCTTCACATGGGCAATACCTCGGCCAAAATTCGCACTGGCGAACTGGGGATCCGCGGGCAGTCAATTTGCATCGCAGCTACCAAAGTGGCGTCCTACGTTATCTGAGACTAGATTAAAGTTTTTCGGAACATAATGGTTAATATAGAAAGAAACCAGTTGGTAAGGATAATCTTCTTAATATAGACATCTTTCCCGCACTTCGTTAATGTTGCAAATTACCTGCTACAACAGCAATTGTCGGGAATGCTTGAATCTTCATGGTGGCGTATGGACGTCCTAGTGGCGCTTTCAAAAATTATCTTCTCGTTCTTAACATTTATAGGCCACAAAAATCGCCAGAGAGCAGTTCTCAAAATACAAGATGAAAAAAAAAAAGTTTTAAATGGATATGACCTTTTCTAGACAATATCTAGTTTCCGTCAAAAACTTTTCACTAGTTTTCGTTTGCCAGTGTTTATAAATCATAAAGCATGACATATAAATTGAAAAGAAGAACCTTTACATTGCTGAGGCTCTTTATTTTGTTCCTCAGATGTCTGATATGTCGATTTTTTAAACGAAACCATTTATCTGCAAGAAAGATAATTCAGCACGCTTTACTTTGTTCAATACATGCTTATGTGTACGACGCGCACGCCCCTGCACTTTTGGAGCTAAATATATAGGTTTTCACCCTCTCTTCGCACGTACACGTGCAAGCGACATTTACTTCGCCCCTCCCTCCTCACCTTTTCTATATTAAAACAAAGTTCATTGCAATGAGGGCATTCAACATTTGCAGCCGACTTTCTTTATACTTCTGAGTAGGGCCTGATTACCATTAGCAGAGGTACAAAAGAATATGTAGCTTAAAAATAAGAATAAAATTTGGCATACAGACAATTCCGACACTCCTTAACCCGCATGTCCATTACCAAACTTCCAAACTCTTAATCATACCTCATCTGTTCGTGAATAAATTTTAGTGCGTAGTTAAGGAGATCTTTAAGAGTGGGAAAAGCGCACTCTGACAGAGGACGCGAAACAAAAAGTACACAGACACAACGCTGACTATTTACTGGAGGTTCGTTTTCGAAAGAACCAGAAAAGTAAAAAGAAGAGAGGGAAAGAGTCTTTAGGTGTCGACTTATCTCTAACATTCGGCAGAGATCAACCTCCAGACAGGTATTGGTAGCCTTATGTGTACGTCCTTACCCACCAAATCAAGACTCAAGGCAAGTGCTGGGTGTAGGTGGTTTTTAGGTGCCGCAGAAATTATATCGACTGTGCATTGCCTTTAAACCGAGGTGAGACACGCAAGTTTCAATGTGATGTCAACCGCTGCAAGCCCTTTGCTCCAGGTACCACAGGTGTTGCGCACCAGATGCACCTCACTTGTGGTTGAGTACGCATTGTACATACGAGGAGATGTGTGACGTGAGGGCCAGGGAGCAGTCCCTCTCCTTCCCTTCGTTCAATTATTTGACAACCTTCCTGCGTAAAAAAATGTCAGACCATCAGGAAGTTCGATAAAGCCCTTTATATTTTATCGAGAGGGGATGACGAATGTTTTAGTGCACCAACGATATCTTTGGGGGAGAAGGAGTACGTTTTTTGAACGATTGTGTCAGATTTGTGTGAAAGTGATAAGGCGCTGTAGGAGTCTTTTTATCGCATTTTTTTCATTTTTCCTCTTTCCCTCTCTTGTGCTTACTATTCTGGCTCGCTGTAAAATAAAAGACCACCCGTACACTGGTGTTTGACTACGACCGACTGAGACAAGACCGACGCTTAGGCCTTTTCTAACAGCTTACGTCCGGCTACGCAGCAATAGGCCTGCAGCTCTCGAGTTTCAGCAATCCGTCTTACGAACAAAACTAATATTTTTCTTGACCTTTTTCTTGTGCGTCATTACTCTCCCTCTCACATTGCTCGCGGACGCCAAGCTGGCAGAACTACAACGGTAGATATAAATTTAAGAGAAAAAATGCAAGAACAAAACAGGAAGGAGAAAATCATTTTTATCGTTTTGATAAGACACTGAATGCGCGATCAGCATTTTCCTTTTGATTACGTAAACAAATTTTAAGTCTTTCATACGCTGTGTTAGCACTCGTGGACAAATACTGAGACACACACCTGTAAACGACCATGGCTCGTGCATGATCGAGCACAGCTGCAGTGCCGCTTTATACTCAATGAAGCCATAACATGGCCGCGTAGTATACGAACGCGCTCGCGTTCTCTTGCCGAGAGCAAGATGCCTATGAGGCCGGTCGTTAGCCGTCACAAGAGGCTCAACCCCTTGCCTAATAATAACGATTGTCACTCGTGCCTCCTCTTATGGAGCGTAAAGAACGACCAAACGTTCAGGAGTGCGAATCCTGTTTCGTTTTCGGCGTTTGCTTACCGCTCTTTCCTGAAGAGGACAAAAGCTCCCATAATGTTCCATTTACCTGGGGTTATTTTGTCCGTTTGTTCTGCTGTTTCACAGAGAGACATTGTTCTACTTAGCCAAGAAAAATATATATGTCGCTTCTAAGCGTTCGTGCTAAACAACATGATTTTGGCGCGGAGGTTCGCTTTAGCCATGGAAGATGTACAATATCTTCTTTTCGAAAATGATTAATTCTGATGCATGTTTCATGACGAATCCTTTAGTCCTTCATTTTTTTGGGGGGAATTAGAAGGTAGTTTGATGGACCGTGAGAGGAGTGACGAAAACGTTAGAAATCCTGCACGCATGCAATCAACGTCGGCGTGTGCACGTCAGTGGGACTCGGACGAAAAGTCCTAATTTAAAGCAAGATATCACACCTGGAAGTCGAGAAAATGTTTTTTTTTGGTCTTATTTCGAAGCAAATTGCCCATTTAAAATAAGATTTGATGCACGTTCCCAAAAGAAAAAAAAAATAGTAGGCAAGGTGCTAAGAACATATTTTCAGGCACTCCGATCAAAAGTAATCATCAAGCATGTGAACCAGTCTTGAACCTTCAGTTGGTGGTCAGCGCTCTGTCTGTTCACTTCTAGTGCCTTGCCCTTTCTGTTCCCACCCTTTAATATGACAATCCAACTCGCCCAATTTTCTCCCATGCTGAAGCTAGGGCACCTCCATAAAAATATTAATGAAAGTAAAAATAAATATACGAAAGGGATACAAAAATTTTACCCATTCTTTGTAGCACTTTGTTTCTATTTTTGTGGTATGATGTTTCTAGCCTTGTTTCTAATTCAGTGGCACCGAGGTCTTGTCCTACTATGTGAATTTGGCACTTCGAAGCTGGAGACATTACGTCGGCGTAGCGTATAAGAAAGTGGGAATCTTCTCGTGGTATTGCACGTCAAAGACCACAGGCTAGCAGTGGTATTACTCTTCTAAATTTGTCATCTGCAGCCCAAAACAGCAGACACCCATTTTTGACTGATTAACTTCCGCTGTATAGGCATACCCACAACACAAGTACAGTCACATTGCTTGTGTAAGCGGAACCTGAAAACTTTGAAAGATTGCGACATATCGTTTGTTCAATTGGTGAATTAGGATTGCCTTCGTCCGCATTCAATGATCCTCTACTTCTTTTGCGTGGTCTAGACTCAAGCATGCACATTATGACCGGCTCAAGCTTGAGCCAGAAGCTTGAGCCAGACTGGGCAGCCGGGAAAGTTTCATTGGGCCTAAATTGTTTTGCCCCATGGTGATAGGCAGCCCCATCCTGGTATACCAGTCTGGCCACCACCGGCGGTTCCCTGTGTAGCCATGGACTGGCTCACCGCTGGAATTATGGCATGGGCCAGGCGGGAATCTCAGTGGTACCCCAAGCTTGGCTCTTTATTGTATATACACCATGGGTCAGATTAATGGCAGAGTGGTCAACCAAGCTTGGCTAGACAATAGAAATGCAACCCGGACCAGCAGGGCAGTTACCGGACCTTTATTGAAAAAATTTGCAAACTGGGCCAGTTCAAACGGGATTATTGCAACTGGTTAAATTGGTAGAACTGGAGAAACTGAAACTGTGCATACTGGTCTTACTATGAAACTGTGCATACCAGTCTTACTGTGAAAATCTGTATACTGGTAATATTGCACGGTCCACTCCATGCAGTTAAGCCAGTTTAACTGGTCATATTGGAAACACAGGTAGTAAACTCATAAAGTTTACTTTATTTTAAAAAAAGAATACATACTACAGACCGCTAAAATAAACATAAAAAGATATTCAGAATGCAAAAAAATTATCGTGATAATATTCATGTGTCCCAGCCGGCTGGCAAGATACTCCGCATCTTCTGGAGTGTCGGGGTTCCGATAGTGGCTAACATAGTACCCCAATCATCTGAAATAAGAATAAACATCAGTAATTAGAACCATGGCAGATTTATTTGCAACAGTCTGTTCTAAAATGGTATGTAACTAATGCCACAAATAAAAATTATGCACTATCATAAACAGTATGAGAGGGAATATTGAACCGTGTGCTAATTGTACATGTGGTGCCAGCCTAGTGGCAATTAAGTATAAACCGCATGTAAGCGATTTGACGAGCGACGAGACAAGCGACGATGATCCGCTTCGCTGTCGTTCGGTCACTCGCGCGACGCGGCAAACCACATGAAAGCAACGGCACCAAGCGACCAAGGCGGTGAGCAACAATTTTCGAGAAATTAAAAAACCGAGCGACGCGACGAGCCATCGTGGGACATCTTCGCCGCTCGTCGCTGGCTCTCGTCGCTCGCTTAATCGTTTCCATGTGGTTCATCCCTTATGCGAAGCAACGCCTAGAAATGAAAAGATCCTGCTGTTGTTACCCCCTTCCTGTCTCCCCAGTCTGTCATTCTACGCAACTCGCAACCACTGTGGTAGAATATCTCTGAAGCTGCATACACACTGGCGGCTGTATTACTTGCATAACTGTTCCGAATCGGGTTGCAGAAAGTTTCAGTTTCACATCCCTACTGAAAATTCTCATTCGTATGAGAAATTTCTTGTGTCCAATAAACACATATGAATCATACAAGATATATAAGAACATATAAGAACCGTATAAGAACCATATAAGAACTATATAAGAACTATATAAGATATATGAGAACACACAAGCACCATATGAGAAACTAGTGGGGACTTTCTTATAAGTTTCTTATGGGGTTCTTATATATCTTATATAATTCTTATATAGTTCTCATATAATACTTATATCGTTCTTATATGTTCTTGTATGTTCTTATATATCTTGTATGATTCATATGTGTATATTGGACACAAGAAATTTCTCATACAAATGATTTTTTTTACTAGGGATGCACCT